AAGTGAAGTATTCACTTGGGGGAGAGGTGCCAATGGACAATTGGGACATGGAGACATGGAAGACAGGAAACTTCCGACATTGGTTGAAGCACTGAAAGAGAGGCATGTCAAGAATATATCATGTGGCGCAAATTTTACTTCCAGTATATGCATCCACAAGTGGGTTTCTGGAGCTGACCAATCAGTTTGCTCTGGTTGTCGACAAGCATTTGGTTTTACAAGAAAGAGGCACAATTGTTACAATTGTGGGTTAGTGCACTGCCATAATTGCAGTTCCAAAAAAGCAATGAAGGCAGCATTAGCACCAACTCCTGGCAAACCACACCGTGTGTGTGATTCTTGCTATGCAAAACTCAAAGCTGCCGAGTCTGGAAATACTTCTGCTATTAATAGGAAAACTACTGTTCCACGCCGCTCCATGGACATAAGGGAAAAGATGGAAAGGGGAGAGCCCAGGTTTTCAAGAATTTTACTCTCTCCCACAACAGAACCTATAAAATACCTTGAGATCAAGTCAGGAAAGCAAGGGGCACAATCTGAGGCTGCTTCCATAGTCCGAGCTTCACAAGTTCCATCACTTTTACCACTAAAAGACGTTGCATTTCCAAGTTCTCTAAGTACTCTTCAAAATGCATGGAAGCCTGCTCCTCCAATAGTGCCTCAGCTGACTGTTAACTCCTCTCAGCCCGCTGCCAACTCAAGACCTTCATCACCCTACTCAAGGAGACCAAGTCCTCCACGCTCTGCCTCTCCGGGATTCTCCAGGGGTGTGATTGACAGCCTCAAGAAAACAAACGAGATTTTCAAGCAAGACATGACAAAAATGCAAAACCAAGTACTGCTTCAATCATATTTGTAATTCTTAATTGCATGCTTTGTTTGATTTGTTTGCTGATCATCTCATGAATCTCAATAGAGAAAGGAATAACTCTCGTCTTTTCTATTATCCTTGTTGGCTGCAGATAAAAACTTTGAAGAAAAAGTGTGATAACCAAGAATTGGAGATTCATGATCTAGAGAACCGTGCCAAAGAAGCTGCTAAATTGGCTGCAGCAGAATCTTCCAAGTCTAACATAGCCTTGGAATTTACCAAATCCATCACAAAAGAGGTATATTTCTCTCTATTTCGATGCTGCACTCCAATTCAAATAATTCTCTCCACTCTTGCAAATGATGATCACATTATAATATATATTCAACAACAACTTCGTAGAGGAAACCTCCCAAAGCCCAACTAAGTGACCAGCTCTGATATTTTTTTTTTTATCTTACATCAGGCAGAATTCAGTGTAGAAAAGCAGCCTTACTTACTGTTTTTATCTATTAATTTATTTTTGTGAAGAATTCTTCACTTCAAATTGATTTAGAAGATTTATATAACTACAATTAATAGATAATGAAAAAAAGAAAGAACAGATGAAAGAATTTGAAACAACAAGCTTGTGATGCCTAATATAAACAAAGAAATGCTTAGTTGTGTAATGTTATGTAAAACACACCTGTAAATATAAGAACTAGATTGACAATATGTCATGTGTTGATGCTCAAGACATTCTTGCATCATTAGCACACTCATGCAGTAGTTACTATAACCAGACATGTTTTAACTTCTAGCCATCTTAGCTCTTTTTTGTGCAAGTTTGAACTCTTTCTTTTCCGTACTCATTTTCTCTTAAAACGAAAGCTCTTTCTTTTCATTCTCCACAAACTGTGTGGCCAATTATCTATCGTTCGAAGTCCTTTCCCATGACAAGTTTGTTGGTGCATATTTTAGATCTTGCTAATTTCCCCATGCGTGTTCCCTTTCTTGTGATTTAGTTGAAGGAGATGATGCAGCAACTGCCTCCTGAGGGCCGAGAAACTGACACCTTGAAAGCCATTGATTCTAAAATAGAAGCTTTCCTAGAAAAAATTAGAGCATCTGAAGGTTCTTCCTTGCCAGAAAGCGTAGGGTCTGACTACCAAAATGCATCAGCATCAAGTCCTTTGACCAGTGACTCTTCTAACTTGCTGGAGAAAAGGACGGAAGGCCAAACAGATACTGTGAGAGCTACTGCGATGTCTCATACTGATGGAAGTGTCCCTGAGGAAAGCAGCAGATCATCTCTTTCTCATTCGACAGAGGCTGTACCTAGAGTAAGCTCAGAAAACGAGTCCAGAACACCTACAGCTTCAATAAAGAGAACTGAATCACAAAAAGAAATTATCGAACAATTTGAACCTGGGGTTTATGTAACTGTCATTCTACGTCCCAATGGCATAAAGATCTTCAAGCGAGTCAAATTCAGGTATGACAACATAGTTGATCCAATTGAACTTCATAATACTAATTTGCAAATATATTCATTGTTGTCAAATCCTTACAGTGTAAAGCAACAAATACCATATAGAGATGGATCAAATAGTAGTGCAACTTACCATATTTTGCAGCAGTGGTTTACCATTAACTGAAACTATTTCATAACTGTAAGTTTCCAAGGAATTGTTCAGGTTTTTGTCCTGTATTCGGGATTTCTAAAGCCTATACCTGCCACGTTGGTGGCAAATTGGAATTGCAGGCTTGAATGAACAAACTCAACCAAAATTAGAAAAATTAGTCTCCTCATCACTAGCAATGAAATGCAGACTTGGAATAAATAAAGTAGGTGGCACAGAACAAAGATCTTTTATGCTCTGAATAACTAAAATTCATATGCATCTCAATGATCACCAGTTTCCTTCGTATTTGTGAAATTAGCAACCATTCTTGAGCTCAAAAAACAGTTACTTTGATGGCTTCAATATCTTCCACTTCCTTGTCTCAATTGCTTATACCTGCCTCCTTTGTTTCAACAGTAAAAGAAGGTTCCAGGAGCAGCAAGCGGAAGTATGGTGGAAAGAAAACAAAGATAGACTACTTAAGAAATACAGTCCACCAACAATAAATGTCAGTCTGGTTGGAGGACCATCGACCCCGGTTGGATCATCCTCTACTCCAGCTCCTACTGAGGTAAATGAGGCAGGACCAACAGAAACATAGTTTCAGAAAGTAGTCTTTCGCGGTACAAAGTAGAAAGTTGAACGTAGGATCAAGAAGTTGCTCTTCAACCACTTCATTAACAATCCTCTAGTTGTCAGTGCCCTTGTTATAAAAAAAAAAAAACATTAGAGGAGGAATCTTCTTTTTTTTCTTCCTTCAGAAATTTAATGGTAGAGCAGGGATTTTACTTACTGAAATTACAGTTCAATATGTGACACGATGAAATTGGAATGCAGAACTACTCAATTCTTTTTCTTGCTTTGGTTTTTTACCTGCTTTTATGGACATGCATAGCTATATCTATATCGTCAACATATCTCTAATAATCAAACAATTCTTTCGTCTCAGTTGGATCTTCAAAGTTTTTTATGAATTCTTCGCTGTGTAATACCCTCAAAAACTATAATAACAGATATAAAAAAAAAAAAAAAAATTGGTACAAATAAAGGGGCAACCACATTAGATGAAGCGGAAGCTGCACTGTTCTTCATGTTTTGCACATCGCTCTGGCTTTAGATGTCCACCAGTTGGTAACTGAACTGATTGTCTACAGTTTCAGAGTTTCAGGTCGGATGAACTGCTCCATGGAAATGTAATTGATGTTTTAAAAAAAAAAAATTGAAAAATATTTTAAAATAACTTTTTTTTATTTTAAAAAAATTATATTATTACATTAAAATAATTTAATTTAAAGCATTTTTCATTTGAAAATATATTAAAATAAATAATTAGAATAAATGATTTTAAATAATATTTTAAATTTTAAATTTTAAATTTTTTTATATTATCATATAAAAAGAATTTAAAAATAAAAAAAAAATTAATAAAGCTAAAAAATTTCAAAAAACTTTAAAAGTGTAGTTTGATCATAATGTAAAATATCATCTTGATAGTGTAGTATTGTTGTAGTGATTATTTTCAAAGTATTTTTTATTTGAAAATATATTAAAATAATATATTTTATAATTTTTTATATAATTATATTAAAATGATAAAAAAAATATTTTAAAGCTAAATTTTTCTTTAAAATAATGATTAGACAGTAATGTCAAATATTATCTTATTTTGATAATGTTTAGCATTGTATTAACAATTACTTTTCAAGATAATTTTCACTTCAAATTATATTAAAATAATATTTTTTAAAAAAATATATATTTTTCATACCAAAATAATCTAAAAAAAAAAATTAGAAACAATGCAGTATCGGAAAAGACAAGGTTCATCTTCATGAATTTTCCTTGGTTTAAAGCCCATATGTTGTAATAAGCTGGCACGTGGATTAGGTGACAACATTTTTATTTATTATATTTGACTTTTAATATTGATTTGCAAATTAGTATATCTCACCGTTACATATAATTTTTACAAGTCTACAAATATATTTAATATTTTATTTTTAATTATTTTATTATAAATCTATTTATTTTTTGTTTTAAAATTATTTTTTATAAAAAATATTTTTTTATTTTTTAAAATTTTTAGTTCATATGTTAATATTAAAATAAATTTTTAAAAAAATATTATTTTAATATATTGAAAAAAACACGTTACCTATTAAAGGTTTTTTTTTCTGTGACAGTGTTTTCAATACCATTTATCTTAAATACACTAATATAAATGTGGACTTTTAAACATATATTTAAATTAAATAATTCAATAAAAAAAACTCTATAGAATTTGTTGCTTTAAAAGTCTCATCTTATAACAAATTTAGTATGTATTTAGTATTGTGATATAAAATATTTTTTAAATATATTTTTTTATTTAAAAATACTTTAAAATAATTTTTTATTTTTAATATCATCACAATTACCAAAAAAAAAAGGTAAAATAAATATATTTAAAAAAGACTTTCATAAAACTGTGAAAACAAAAATACCAAACAGCTAATTAAATATTACCGTTACCAATAATATCTTCATTGCCAAAAACCATTACCGCTATCATGATGGTGATTTGGGTCCACGCGCTCACTAACCCGCACCGCAAATTTAGAGAGGTCACGTCAGTTCAGCTCAACGGTTCCTCAGTCCTCACCCAAATTAATTAATTTCCCATTTAATTTCCTTCATTTTCCAGGAAAATAATACTAATTTACTCGTAGCTTTCCTGGAAAGCGCCAATCCAATTTTCCTCTAAATAATACAACAGGAATAGAACGCAATCCATCCTTCATTTTTTCTTGTTTTCCAAAAAAGAAAAGGAAAGAAAAAATGGGGCAACAGCAATCGAAGGACGAGTTGCTGTACCAGCAAGTGAATTACGGAAATATAGGAGGCATCAAGACTCTTTGCAGCCAAGGCGCTGGCCTCGAGGTAGGTCCTGAATAATTTATAAAATTCTTGCTGCTGCTGCTGCTGCTGTTGTTGTTGCTGTTGTTTAGAAAGAAATTTTAACTGGTTTTGTGTGTGTTGCAGTGGATTGATAAAGAGGGGAAAACACCACTGATATTGGCGTGTTTGAATCCTCAACTTTTTGATGTGGCTCAAGCTTTGATTGAGCTCGGTGCTAATGTCAATGCTTATCGCCCCGGTATGCCTTGCTTTGATTTGCTTCTTAATTATTAAATACTTCTTGCTTTCTCTATCTCTCTCTCCCCGTTTTTTTTTACAATTAATTTTGAATTAAGAGAAATGAGATTCATGCTTAATTATTACTCCAGTGCATGAGCGAACGGGTTAATTTTTTGAGAATGTGTTGAATTCTGTTAATTATTATTATTATTAGTATTAGTATTAGTATTATTGAGTTGCAGGTCGTAGTGCGGGAACTCCCTTGCATCATGCGGCGAAAAGAGGTCTTGAAAATACCGTGAAGTTGCTTCTATCACGTGGAGGTGAGGTGTACTGTCGTATATTGCTGTCGTTTTGGAAATTTCATGTGCTTGCTGCTGTGTAGTTTTTTTTTTGTTTCTCTGGTAGTTTAACTTTAATGAGTGCTTTTTTTTTTCTTTCGAATTTTCAGCGAATGCATTAGTGATGAATGATGATTGTCAAACTCCTCTACAAGTTGCTAGGGCGAAGGGGCACAGCAATGTTGTTCGTGCAATTGAGGTATGCGTAATGCATCGTGTTGTGATGTCTGTGTAACTACTTTGTGCTTGGACAATGTGGAAAAATAATCTGTGACTTACCTTGTTTTTACTAATTCTTTGCAGAGTCATATTTGTCTATTCTCTGGTTGGCTGCGGGAGTTTTATGGGCCTGGATTTCTAGAAGTATTGGCACCTCGGTTGGTTTCAAGAGACGTGTGGGTATCATTTCCATGTGTTCATCATTTGTTGTTTTTGCAACTCCATTTTAAGTTGTGCGACATGTCATCTAGGAAGTTTGAAATGGCATGTGTCATCTAACATTTGCTATTCTTTATTTGTGATACATCAAATTGTTCTTGTGAAGCACTGGAGTTCTCATGCCTGTTAGTGTTGAATCATATGCAGATGGGTTGTCATTTTACCTACTGGTTCTCGTAATCCTAGAGGGCCTTACAAATTGGAGCTTGCCATTTATTCTAGATTGCAGGTATGCAACTAAATTTTCTAATTTGCAAGAAATTGGAATACTGGATTCACATTCACTGTTGAAGTTTATAATGATTTAGGCCTTCGCGTTTGTGCTGCAATTGAGAGTTATTTTTTGGTTTTAGGCTTCGCTGCAGTGATCCTTGTATTTGTTTTTAAGCTCTGGGAATTCTTGTTTGACACATTTCTAGTTTGCTTTGGTGGTTTATCTTTATTCGTGTCTATACAGGGGTTGACTTTTTGGTGTTGTTATGAGAACCAAAAGGAAAACCTTCTACTATCAAATTTCTCTGGTTATGAATCCATATAGCGTGTAGCTATCCCTGTTAACCTTCCATGCACTGATTTTTTTTAATTGGAATATTAAAGGCTAGTGAGATAAAACCTGCTGTCACATTTTCTTAACAGCTTTGACTTAATTGGTAGGATTTTTTGTGGATTGAGTGTTGCATAGGTTTGTCGAAATAAAGAAATTGTTGATAAGGCTCTAAGTTGTAAGATGCCACATGTTTGGATCTGAAATATTAAAGACTGCAATGTTCAAAACAGTATCAATGACTGCTGAGATGATACTTTCTGTTAGTTTTATTTGCAGCTTTTACTTCCTTAGTTTATAGGATTTTGTATGGATTGACTCTTACTTAAGTCTATCCAATTCAAGAAATATTCTTGGTTGAGCACCAAGTGGGAAAGGAGACCAAAGGGTTCTTAGCTTTGGATCTTAAAATTGTTATGAACAAGAAATGCACTTTTTCTTGTTGTGTAGAAAAGTCCTCCAGTCACAAGTCTCCATAAGTAATGCTAACTTTACTGGAGGACTTGTCGTGAAAAGTCTCATCCATTTAGTGAGCGGTTCCACTTGTCACTCTTCCAATGGATGAGATTTGTGGGAAATCATAACTGAGTTGCCAGTTCTGCTGAGGTGAGGGGCTTACTTTCAAGTTCAAGATCTAGCAGTAGAACTGAGTTGCCAGAAGTTTACATATTCAATGACACTGATAAACTACCTAAGGGTGATGGTAATTGCATAGGAAGTTAATTGGGCATGTATATTAGTCAATGAGATGCCTGAGTTGATGGCTGAGCTTATGGTTTATGAAGCAAGATCTCTGCCAGTTCTTCTCTGAATTTAACCAATTGTAGATTGTGGTGAGTAACAACTAATGTTGTTTGGGTAGTAGCTCATTCCACAAGTAGAGGTAGAAGCTAGATGGGGATGTATATTAGTCAAGGAGATGCCTGAATTGATGGCTGAGTTAGTGGTTCATGAAGCAGGATCTCTGAGAGTTCTGACCTGAATTAACCAATTGTAGAATGTGGTGAGAAACAATTAATGTTGTTTGGGTAGTAGCTCATTCCACAAGTAGAGGTAGAAGCTCAGGTGGAGAGCTCTGACTAATAATCTTTTCTAAAATCCCATGTGAGTGAGACACGGGATGTTATCCTAGGTTGAAATCTACCTGTTTTATTTAGGAATCCAAGCACCTGCAGTACCGCTACCAGCTTTGGTGTCAAATGTGCTGCTATATTGTTCTTTCTAGCTGTTTTTGTGCTATAGAAGTCTTCCTTAATAATGCTCACAAATGAGATTATTGCTGCATGAGAGGTGGTCATGATTTAGATACTGCTCCCACATTCAGATTTTTCATTTATTATGCTTTGTATCAACTGCCACTTGGGACATTGTGATGTTATTAGGACTTTGCAGCACACAGGGTGCATTTTGAAATGACTCACTTTATACTGCTTATTAAAACAAAGCGGACTTGGTTCATGAAGCTGCATGAAATGGGACTCCAACTCATTTTCGAAGAGCTCTTCCGTTGATGATAGTTTGCTATTAGGGAAGAGCTCTTCCTTTTAGTTTTGCAGATAGTTTGCTATGAGGGAAGAGCTCTTCCTTTTAGTTTTGCAGCCCTGTTTCCTGGTTTGAATTAATATGCCAAATAGTGTTTGCAAATGCATGTTGTATTCCTACATATAAAAGTGTTATGTTTTCTTCTTGTTTAAGCAATGAGTTTCTTGTTTTTAGTAATTTTCTGACATATTAATGAACGACCAGGATGCACAACCACGGACTATTGTCGCACTGTGGAAAGCAAATCTGGAAGAAATGAAATTTCACCACTCTGATCCATCTGTGATGATTGTTGATAACTCCACCAGTAATTTCTTTATGATGATAACTATTTGTGAATCTTCTGTTGGCCTTCTTTGAAATTTATATTATGTTGATTTCCTAGTCCCTACATTTACTCTGGATTTTATGTCCATGCGTAGCCTCAAGAGGCAGGAGGCGGAGACGAGCGAGGTGTAGGTCTCTAAATGTTAGGCGTAAGTATGATAAATAATCCTGACACCATAAGAAATTAGATACTGTTCAAATTGCTCTGGATATAGGGTGCCTCGCCATGCTCCAGCCTCCAACATGAAGTAGATATAACAGATATATAGCTAAAAAAAATTGACAATTCACTGCATGAAAAGGAACTTACATTTGATTAATACTATATTGATAATCTTAAACCTGAAATGTTTTGTTTTCAGAAACGCAAATTAAACTCGCACCTGCAAATGAAGGTGACAAGCAACAGCTTCAGTGGTTTTGTGATGCATGCAAAGGAATACAGCAGGTTTGATTCACCCTAGTATACGGTTCTTCGTTGATCAAAGAGCAATTGACAATTACAAGTAGACGAGATGTTTTTTCAGCTGAAAAGTATTTGAATGCCTTGTCCTCCTTTCTTTTGATGAAACCATAACATCTTTTAAGGAATCCTTTTCTTATAATGCTATAATTTTCAAGACTATCCAGACTCCAGCATAACTAATATTAGATGTTATAGCCATATAAGAGGCTTTCTTGAGAATAGGGTTGTTCGGGAGTTCCTTAGATCCATTTAGAAGACATGAAAGTCCCTCCTTAGGGTCCATTCTAAGCCTTCAAAAACAGTCGGTTTCATGTTGTCACAAGGATCTTATTTTGGGAATTTTTTGGCACAAAGCAGTTTTATCTTTGGGTTATTATTGGTTTTCATGTCAACATGGTCAAAGTGAAAACTCATTATAGAACCATACACACTTTCTTTTCATGTTGGGAGAAGTCAAAGCTTAAACGTCTAAAAATTCCACCCGTTTTCTTGTTCCCATATATTTGTATAGTATATAATGTACTACTTCCCTTGAGGCTCATAGCCCCCCTCGAGTTATGAGCCAATGCTCAAACATCTCTGAAATGAAAACTAGTCATCATGCTATGGTTGTTACTGAAGAAATGCATGTATTCCTGATTGGTGCTAGACTGCTTTAACTGGCAGAAACACTGTAACTATAATGCAGATTGGCTACAGATTGAAGTTCCTTTTGCACCTGATTAACTATTTTATATTATGTTGTTGATGTGCTTCCTTTTTCTAAAAAAAATGGTTTTTATTTGATGATTAATTAGAAAAGGCTCCTAATGTGACCACAAGAGTATCTGTTTGGTGTGATCTGTTACTTTAAGTTCTGATCACATTTCAAGTGTGTTTCATACCCTTAAATTAAAATTAGCTTTGTTGTTTGCATATGTATGCATAAAGTAGGAAATTTCAATATAAAAACTTGCATGGTAAATAAGAGCTTATATCATTCAGATTGACTTTGTTCATTACAAGAGTACTTGGGGTATGAATGCTTATAATGTTACAGGTAATGCATCCTCCAGCATTTCTGCATAATTCTGAGGCTCCAGTTGTTCAAGCAACTGCCCCACCATCTTCTGAAGATATAGAGATAGCAATGGCAATGAATACCTCCATCCAGTCTGCAGCAGAGAGACCTATTTTTGACCCCCACTCCAGCGCTGGGGCAAGTTCATCCACCAGCTGGAGTTACCCTGTGAATACTGGCAGTCAAGTTGCTCTGGAAACGCCAGCAGATCCTCCTCCAAAAGTAACTAGCAGTGAATGGGCACTGCATGAAACTGGAGTTACCAGCAGTTCAACTCAGCAAACCAAGATCCAGAATAGCAGCATCACTGATGTCCGGACAGCAACTGATGCCCAAGGTTCAGTCCCATCAGCTCCACCCATTGTAGATGAGATTGTAGAAGATGGTCCCATTCACTACCCATCAATTGATTCCAGCCCCATTGATACTTCTTCCCTGCCTGTTGAGAACTTACCAGAAAACACAGGTGAAAAGAGAGAAGATGGAGGTTCTTCATCATGTGTAATATGTTTAGATGCTCTGGTTGAGGGCGCTTGCATTCCATGTGGCCACATGGCTGGATGCATGTCTTGTTTGAAGGAAATCAAAGCCAAGAAATGGGGTTGCCCTGTGTGTCGTGCCAAGATTGACCAGGTTGTAAGGCTCTATGCTGTCTGATTATTGCTGAAGAATGAAGCTAGAAATGGTAACTATTTTCTGGGCACCTCGGAGTTATGTTTTCTTTCCTATAGAACAATACGTAGCTGTAACCTTTTTTATGAATTATTTGAACAAGCCTTTGTGTTTGTGCCTTCTGTAGCATCACTCGAATCCCCTATTTTTGGAGTTACTGTTGTCCTTCCACTGGTGTAGATCCCATGCTTGCAGCATTTCAGATTAACTTATATTGGAAATTAGAACTATTTTCTCAACATCTGAATTATATGAAACTATTAGAGAGTGGGTAGGATTTTTATTGAGAATAGCTGGACACAAGCATGAACCTTTTGGGAGTCAAGTGTTATACATGGGACCCTGTTGATCTGCTTATGAATTTGAATGTATGATCATGAAGAGAAGTAAAATTTACAAGAAACAGAAGACGCTAAATGGCTGGCAACCATTTCTGCAGGTAAGTTTGGCAGCGCAAGGGAATTGACAACTTGAGTTGCAGTAGCAGCAGCTGGATCACCTTGTTTATGGGTTAGTAACTTCTTGGAACATTCTACTCGTGTACTTGTGAAATAAAGCTGAAGCTGGTTATTGTTAAGACCGTGTTTGGGTATTTATATGAGCCTTTGTGTATAGTTTATTTGTATGCATAATATGCTTGTATATTTAAGCCATATATAAACTGCACAAAAGGGATCCAAAGTGTCTTGCAATTTTCAAGGTCATCCTTTATGAAAATAACTCGTTCGTGCTAAATCCATGTACATGCATTTGCTTCAGAAGTGGTTTATCAGCTAGCCTCATCGGGTTCCTCCTTAATGGAGCTTGCAACTCTTTGATCTCTAGCCATCTTTCCCCGTGAATGTCTTTAACTATCATTCCCAATTGAAGTATCATGCAATTTATACTCCAGGTCTTCCTCTTTAGTGCGTGTCTTGTATACATCTTCTAGTTGCTCATCCCCTTGCAGTGTGAAGGCAGTGGGATGGCACAATTCTCATTTTGCATGTGCAGGCTTCGCTGCCCTTCTCAGTATCAGCCATGGGGGATGCGCTGCTGACATATAACCATCCCGCTAGCAGATGGCAGGTAGATTTTCTCCTCCCTTTTTCGGTAAAATGGGTGTAACATGTGAGATAGTATAACGTAAACTGAAGTCTACACAACTAGGATTTTCACAATTAATCGGGCAAATGACTCTCTCACACGCACTTACACATATTCTTCGTGAACTGAGTGCGTGTGTGTGTGTTCTGCATCATAGAAGCCCTTCTCTTTTATAGTTACTTGCAAGATAATGTTAAAAATTATTCCTTCAAGTACACGTGCTTCGCCATTATTGCATATTACGTGCACATTTCAAATATACAGATCGTGACTAATATTGATGGAAAAAACCGAAACCAATCCCATGTCTCAATGATGCTTCGCTTTTCTTAAGGAAAAAGAAAATAAATTTACTTAAAATCACTGGAAGTAGAATTTTCTAAAAGAAATGACAGGTCTTCATGTCAAAAATTAGCCTTGCAATTAGGCATCAAATTTAAAAAAAACAAAAAAACAAAAAAGGGGGAAAGGGAGACGGATTAAATCCTAGTGTTAATTAGCCTAGCAATGATGCATCACTCTGCCCGCCAAGAGTCCCTTCATTTCAGTAGTCTCACGGCACAGAAGAATCAAAGGTAGATAGTAGAGTACTTGAGGGACTAATTAGACCATCTTAGTACAGAAACATGGAATAAAACGGATGATTAAGAGATTTGTTAGCATATAATCCAAGATATTCCTCCGGTTTCTTTAGAAAAAAGAGAAAGAAACAGCGAATACGGATTCTTGTTTTATTCAATTGCAAGTTACTGAAATTGATTCCACACTCCAACTCCACAAAGCATGTAGGCTTTTTTTTGTGTCCTCACCTAAGTGCTGTCGACATCTTTTTAATTTACTTCTGTGACCTTAACAACTTTTTCTCTTCTCTTATGTTGTTGATCGGTGACTCTGATAATAAGTCTTTGAAGATAATCGCATGCTTCCAATCATCTATTGCCACTCGTTAATTGCATTATGCTCTCCGTTAGTAAACAGTGCTATATATGTTTTTTTTTAAGTCTTGTGGATGAGAACTATATTTATTCTCAATGCAGCCACTTTTCTTTTTATTTTTCGTAAGTGTTTTTTTGTAAGTGTTTCAAAGATTTTAAAAATATTTTATTTTAATTTTTTAAAATTATTTTTTCTCACGTACTTTTTTATTATTTTAGTTTAAAGATAATTTTTTTTTAAAATATTATTTCAGTATATTTTCTCACAAATAATATTTTTAAAAATTAATAACCGCCTCAATACTGAAAACCTCTCGGCTAGCCATAGTCGAACTTTTCAAAACAGGAGTGTAGGAGGTATGTCCTTTCAAATAGTGCTATCTTGTTAAGCTATATTTGAAGACAAAAGGAGGGATTTTATCACGTGACATTGCTAGTTCTTGAACCAACATGGAGGAACCTCACGGTACAAGGAATTTCTTATCCTCACGCAGCTACTTTTTTTTGTGTTTTAAAAAAAAATTATTTTTTTCAAATTTATTTTTTTATTTTTTTATATTTTCATCTACTAATGTTAAAATTATATTTTAAAAAATAAAAAATTCATATTTTTATCTACTAATGTTGAAATTATATTTTAAAAATAAAAAATTAGTTTTTAAATAAAAAATATTTTAAAAAATAATCATTATTATAATATTCAATAACCTATCAGCTAACTATTGGAGAGTGTCATTTTACAGAGAATGTTCTAGATATATGTATAGTTAATGTTGATATTCACTAGTTCAAACCTTAAAAAAAAAGGTTTGAATATGTGAAATAAGTTTGGTAATAAAAAGATATATAATTTTTTATATAATTATTAGATTTAATTAAAATTTTATAGTTATATTTTATAAACCTAGTTCTGTATAAAATTAATTTGTTATAATTAGATAAGGTTGCTTTTATATTCAAATTAAAAGTTTATTTAAAAGTGTGGTATGGTATAATTCAAATTGCATTTTATCTCAATCATGGTATGGTTTCGAAAGTATTTGGTTAATTAATATACAGCATAATTTTATATATATCATACTACAAACTCTTTCTTGAAATCTTAATTAAAAAAAAAGCTATAATTTATTTAAAAAAAAATATTGTATTTTCAAGTCACAATCATAAAAATTACCACAATGTTTTACTACCACAACGTTAAAAACATGCTAAATTTAAATTATTATTTTTTCCTATAGAGATTATGTCTTGGGTCTACAACTAGTATAAATAGAAATATCTAATTTATTTTTTATAATATATTTAATTACTCAAAAACCATTAACATCCAGAGTTTATTAAATTAGAATTCTTTCTATATTTTAGCTACAATTTTAGGATTTAGGAAACTCATATTTCTAATTCAGCGTGTTATTTCCAGCCTCTCTGTTTATACAAGTACCATCAAGTTCTATTGCTCTTTAAAAAAAAAAAAAATCTGTAGAGAACAACATAATTCTCTACAAAAACTCACTAAACATAAATAGGAATTTGATACGCAAATCAACGATTAATAAATTATTATCCAATCCTCTTATTTCTAGCAGAACAATTGCTTAATAGCTTTGATTTTAAAAAACTTTATATTGAATCCACAGATTATTAAATCAGATTACAATTAAATCAGCCAATTTTGACCATTTCACCTATTGGCCACTGCAAACAAAACCAAAGGAGCATATAGGAGGGTAATTTGAAAAAGATATTGTTTAGAGTAAAGATGTTAGTGATAACATGATAGGTCACGCGCAGAGGTGAAAAATAGATCATCCACGGCCACGGATCGGTTGGCTTTGGTGGTCGGTTGATTATGGAAGCTAATCGATTATGTTACAAGAGGTTTATAAGTTGGCAAAGGTTGTCGGGATCTACAAAATAGATGGGGATCTTGTGTGATAATTCCAGAAAAACCATTATTTCTAGCAAACTATCCTATCAATCCGCCAATAATTACGTTGGAAAAAAATTATTGATGAAAAAAGAATCTAATAATTATCTTTTTTGGAAAAAAGTGTTTTTAAAATATTTTTTCTGGATATTGTTTTTTTTTAAATTAAAATAGAAATTATTAGAAAAAACTTTTTGAATTAAATAAAAAAATATTTAAGAAGATAAAAAATATTCTATTTTCCTGTGTAGATATAAATTAAATTATTTTTTTAATTTATATTTTATAAAAAGAATTTAAAAAATCAATTTCACGTTACCAAAAACAATTCAAAAAACCAAACAAACCCCCAAAACTATAAACAACAAAACTAAAAACAAATCACACATTTCTTAATAAAACAAATATTTTATTTTTATCATCCCACATAATCTTAAACAACATAACAACAAAATTAGAAGAAAAAAAAAAGATAACAACACACTAATAAGAATATAACTACAACATATAAAAAACAGCTAACTATGACATTTATCAACATAAAAATTAAAAATTAAAACAAACATGAAAAGAAATAAAAGAAAAAATATAAAAAAAGTGAAAGGAGAGTGAAGTAAAAAAAAAAAACCTAAAACGAAAGAAAATGATAATGAAAAGAATTTGAAGAGATAAAAAATTATAAATGGATATTGATGAGCTGGTTTGATAATAAAAAGAAAAGGAAAATAGAAAGAGAGAGTATGGAAATAAAATAAGAGATGGGTGCTATGAAAAGTGAGAGTGATGAAGCTGCATGGCCGCTAAAGCAACATTCCAGAATAAATAAATAAATAAAATGAATATTTAATTATATTTAATCAATTAATTTTATTTATTTTAATAATAAATTTTATTTAAAAAACAAATAAAAATCCAAGATTAACTAATTAAATAAAAAACAAAGAATAAAAAAAAGTCATAGAAAGCACTAAAAAAAAAAACAGAGTACAATCACAAATGAAAAAAATATAAAAGATAAAATACAAAAAAAACATTAACTTTATATATATATATAAACAATCATAGGAAAAACCTTATGAAATCTGGGTTGATTAAGCTTCCAACTTATAAAAGTATAAATACGAGCTTGATTAAAAAAATTAAATTACAATTAATTAAATATTAAAAAATAAAATTATATAAAAAAATATCAATTCATAAAATTTTATAGAGAAAAAAAATTAAAAGAATAGGGATTAAATTTGATAAAGAGAAAAATTAAATGAGGATAAAATTTAAAAAATCTAATTTAATGAATTATTTAAAAATAATAATAACTGAAAGAAAAAAAACTAAATAAAAAAAGGAAAGAGAAGTTTATGGGCTAATTTAAAAACCACTGCAATCAGTTACATGCATTATTTGAAGACAACATACTATGCAAGCATGTGTTAAACAACCAAATTATTCATAACCCAACATAATAATATTAAAAAAAAAAAAAAAACCTAGTTTCATAACTAAAATACTTTCTAGCTAGAGGCACGAGGATATAAACTCTAGGGACAAGTAGGTCCTTTTACTATATTTATACATATGAAAAGACACGAAAAAATACCTCATTCAGTTTTTTTCTAGTTCCAAGAGTAATACAATTATTTTATTTGACAGGTATTAAATAAATTATAAATATACTGGAAACTCCAAGAATTAATAATAATTTTCTATTTTTTTTTTCATGTTTAAGTTACATGAAAAAAAAAAAAAAATTTTTTTTTTTTTTTCATGTTTAAGTTACATGAAAAATACAAGATGCATCTTGTATTTTTCATGTAACTTAAACATGAAAAAAAAAATAGAAAATTATTATTAATTCTTGGAGTTTCCAGTATATTTATAATTTATATATCCACTACTCTTTTCTTGTGCACAAAAACATGCGCTGTAGCATATATTACCTACATGTATTACACTGATTCAACGTATTATTTGCTAGAAATAGAAATCATAGACAGATGGGGATTTACAAGTACATGGCTCTCCCAAACCAGTCATTTAATTACTTGTAAACTAATAATTTATCGAGAAACACAATAACACTTTTCGGTACAACCTTCCTCCACCGTCAAACTAAACGGAGGCAAAACCAGATACGATGATACTTCTAGGTCATGTGTTTAAGTTTAATTTATCTAAGATCAGCACAGGTTCTTGAAAAATAACTGGCCTTGCTTCAATTATAGATTGCAAGGATTGGCTAGCAAGCCTCTTGGTCGCCTGACATTGCAAGTACGGTTTACCCCGGAGGCAAAAGCCAAGTGGCCGTGAAACAAGGCCGCAGCTCTTCACTTCTCGGGCCACCAATTGTCGCTCTAAACATTTTTTCATGATCTAAATTATTAGGTCTTGGAAATTAAACTCTTAATTTATGTGATTAGATGGGTCATGACTGCTGGGAGATCTCCTCCCCCTCTCGGCTTTCGTTCTTGACTAAGGTTATCCTAATATTTTCTTGACATACATTATAGATTTTGAGGGTTTTAATATTAATTGCGACTGTTTAGGGTAATGATGGTACCATTATAAAGTTGTCGTAGCTCGTATGGAGTGTTTGTCTTTTAATTTTACATACTTTTCATATTTTTTTCATGGTTCCAATGTGTTCATTTATAAAATAAAATAAAAATATTATTTTAATTAGAGCATTTTCAATTAAAAAACAGCACTACATTACTAGAATCTTATAATGGTTATCCATGAGCATCAAATATTCAAGCAAAATCATAGCTTTATATTTGTCAATATATAGAGATGAATAAAAATGATGAAGGAAGTGGAGTGAAAGGATTAAAAAGAGAAATGTTGGATGAGTTATTGTTAATATAGTTGTTTAGTTAATAGAAAAAAGAAAGAAAAACTTCAAATCAAAACATTGGGAATTATAAAAGAGCAGAAGGACTGGAGTCAATTTTAAATTAAAATGAGTGAGAATTATAAGTAAAATCCAGTCCCTCTTTGAATTTTAATGCCATTCATGTGAAATGTATACAATTAATTAATTAAAGAAACGGAATTTCACAAGCAAAGTACATTGTTTTTTTAAAGGTAAAAACAATGCTAGTTCATGTTCAGTTTTTTTATAAAGGGAAACGGTACAGATAACATATACTTATTTACTATTAATAAATAATTTTAACAATTTGTCCGGACAAAGAACTGTAGAAGTTAGTGACTCTCTACTGTTCTACCCTCGCAACAAAGGGGGGTAGGATGGAAACAGGCACATGGCTAAAAGATTTACAGAAGGAGGCTCAGCCTAGCTAGCAAGATCACACAGCTAGGGAGCAAATTTTAGTTATTTTTCAAATATACATGGAGATGCCTGGTTTAGTGATGAGTTTTTTTTCTTTCCAACCCAGGTTTTTTGTTTTTTAACTTGAATATTTGATATTTTTTAATATTTTTTTAACTCAAATACATATAAACACCATTGCGAACACAAAAATAAACGCATTCTGTAATCAGCACTGCAGCAACTATCTCTTCTAGTGTGGCATGCTGATAGACAACTCCCTCCCTCCGACAGTTCTGCGCGCAGAGTGGTTTTTGGACACTGATCTGACGAGCCTAGCTTGAGGTGCTCAGCGAAGCCACACGACCGACGCTGCAAGGTCCGTTTGAATAGAGGAGGGATTCGGGCAGGTTGGCTCAAAAAAGAAAAACGGGAGAAAGCTTGATCTTACTGCTACAGTGTAGAAGCACTGTACTAAGCAACTGTAGTTGACATATATAGGACATATGAATAGAGGAGGGATTCGGGCAGGTTCGCTCAAAAAAGAAAAACGGAAGAAAGCTTGATCCTACTGCTACAGTGTATAAGCACTGTTCTAAGCAACTGTAGTTGACATATATAGGACCCATGCTGTCAATTTTGAAAACTTGAGATGCAAGATGTTCCTGAAAAGAAATCAATGGAGGGCAATATGGTCATTGGCAAAAAGGTGATGTCAATCAACACAAAAGGATGTGAAGAAACAAAATCATGTTATTCCTTTGTATATTTTTAACCCAGTGCCTTTTTCCTGTCTCCATCCCACCATCTCTCTCTTCCCTCTCCTTCTCTGCCTTTCACTGTCAACCTCTTTACATTTCCACAAAAGCCCTAAAACTGGTTCCTGCCACTTAACCCATTTTCTTTTACCACCCACCCATCTCTCTC